GGGCAGACACCACAGGACTTGGGAAGATGGACTAGAGAAATACATGTGTGATAAGTCCTAGGGCAGTGATCATGACAGCTAGAGCTGTGCCATCCAGTACAGTAGCCAGTAGCCACATGTTACTATTGAGCACTCGAAGTGTGGCTAGTCCAAATTGAGATGTAAAAATGTGAACTATAAAATACCCACTGGATTTTGAAGACTTAGTATGAAAAAAGAATGTAAATTATCTCAATAATTATTTATATTGAAATGATAACATTTTGGCTATATGGGGTTAAATAAAATACTCATTTTTGCCTGTTTCTCTTTTTTAATGTGGCTACTAGAGTACTTAAAATTATATATAGGGCTCCCATATTTCTATTGAATAGTGCTGATCTAGAATTTAGGGGAATTTTAGAGTTACTGCTGCAGTGTTTGTGCACCTGCATGTATGCACATGTTTGTTGGACAGGGGGGTGGGGAAAGTGGTTTGGGAAAGTAAGGAAAAGGTAAGTATGCAGGTATAAAGGTAGAGCTTCAGACAGGGTTATAATAGGAAGAGAGAAGAGTAAAGAGTAAACCTCCCTCTTAATTGCAATGGAAAGCCTTTGAAAGGTTTTAAACACCCAGTACATATTTGTTGAATGAAGCAATATGTCTTAATTACTCAATTTAATAATGGATGTTCTGATTTATACTCCTAATTCAGTCTTAATTCTTTCAAATGAAGATATGGGTAGCTGTATAAAGACATTCTAATTAGAAGAAAGTTTGGTTCTCAAAAGAGAGCAGGCCATTTCTTCTTAAGTCTAAATTGACTTAGCTTGTATTCCTTTGATATATTTTCAGCAAATAGAAGTGTGAGTTGGTCCTTAAAACTGGGCATATTCTTCTTGTATCTGGCATAACATCCTATTGGGCATATTTTTCCAAAAATAAACCAGCTTTGTCTGTATTTTAAGACTTTTGTGACAGATGAAGTCTTTAATGATCCCTGAAAGAAATTTCTTAGCTTACAGCATTTGTACTCCACCTTGTCTTTCTATACATATTTGTGCAAGTAACACTCGACTCTCTAGCAGGGTGCTTCTTAATGCTGGCTGCAAATGAGAATCACTTGAAGAGCTTTTAAACTCCCAGTGCCTAGCCCTATTCCAAAGATTGTTTTAATTGTTCAAAGATGAGGACTGGTTATAGGTATTTTTTAAAAGCTCCTTGGGTGATTTTTAAAAATCCTTATGTGCTGTAAACCTGCATGGTCTGATATGTTAGCTACTAGGCACATTGGTATTAACTTCTTGAAATGTGGCTGATACAAAATGAGATGTGGTATAATTGTAAAATATACACTATTTTAAAGTTAGTGGAAAAAACAAGAATAAAAATCTACCATTAATTTTATTTACATTGATTACATAAAGTGAAAATATACTGAATATATAATATTTAGGGTCAAATAAAATATGTTAAAATTAATTTCACCTTTGTTTTGTTTTTATTATACTGTGACCACTAGGAAATTTAAATTACATGTGTGGATCACATATTTCTATTGGACAGTGCTGCTGTAGTCTAGACTGTTGCTACTCAAGATGTGGTCCAAGGACCAATAACATTAACATTATTTCGGAGTTTGTCAGAAATGCAGAATCCTGGTCCACCCTAGACCTACTGAATCTGAATCTGCATTTTAACAAGATCCTCAAGTGATTCGTATAGATGGTACAGTTTGAGAGACACTGCTCTAGCAATAGCTTCACAATTTTTTTCAATTTCATAATTTTTCTCATCTCTTCTTTTTCATTGTATAGGCTGGTAAGTTTTCCTATTCATGATCCCAGCTTCGTCTCATTTGTCCATTAGAATCATTTGTCTTCATGTCATTTTCTGTTTTTAATTCTTTCATTTTTTATAATTTTATCTCTATATTTTCAACAGTCACTGCTTTTTAACTTAAGTTTCATTAACTGATGTGAGTGGAATTGGTATGTATTCATGTAATATATGTAAAATGTGTCCATAAATACTTATATGCTATTATAAACATGATTTTTCTGAAAAGAATTTCTAAGATATTGTTAATATTATGTTGGTGGTAGAGTTTCACTTCATTTTGTACTTTTATTTAGGTTTTATAAACATGTATATTCTTTTTAAAAAAATCAACAGATTTGTGAATTGTAGATTTATGGGGACATTAAAAAATGTAGTTTTCTATAATAAAAATCACTCATAAGTAAATTTTTAATATAATGTTAATCACCTCAAAGTAAAATAAAACAAATGTGCTGTGTACTAACAGCCACATGGCTGAAACAGAAATGACTGTGCACATGATCCTTAGAGCTAGTGATTGGTGGTAATAGAGTTAATGAACCTGTTGTAGAACATAGCATGTTCTGTGTCTGAGTGTTCCTAAGTCGATCTGTGAATACATATGCACACATAGACATACACACACATTTCCTTTCCCAATTTTGTTGGCTTGGATTAACTGTAGCATTTTTACAGGGATGATGTGCTGAGATACAACCATACTCTAGTATGATATACATGGCATATATTCCATTATGTGACCTAGTATAGTTTATCCAGTCCTCCGTTGGTCAATATTTGTATTTTTAACATGCTTTTACCTTAAAAATATGATAGTGGTTTTTAAATGGTTCAAAAAGCTATGTAAATACCATGAAACATTCTGTATCTTTTGTAAATAAAATTCATCCTTATCACATTGTAGGCATTTAATCTGATATGGAATTTGTTGTAACTTTGTCCTATTTTTAAGGACATCTAATCTGCCAATTCTGTTTTTTCAAAATGTCTTTGATAATCCGCTTATCACCAGTCAGTACTGCTTAAGTAGAAATATAGCCTGTTTGCTGAACATTTTTCTTCAGAGTTTTGTGTAACCTGTTGACTGTTACATTCTCTGGTGTAGTTATAGAGTGGGTAGTTTATCTGATGTCTTTACTTATTCTCTCAGACTACTTCTAGCCTATATTGAGTTGGGCTGCCTTTTTCTTATAAGCATATATGCTTTGTGTGCCTATGGAAATTTCAGTTTTACTGGCTTCCCTGCCTTGAATTATTTTTTATTTCTTTTTATCTTTTTTTCCATTGCCTGAACACCTTATTTTAAGTTTGATTTTTACCTCCTATTCGTTAGGCACAATGCCATATATTGAAGATACTGTCTTTGGAGCAGGTGGACTACCATCTCCAAGATCCTCAGAGGTGCAGCAAATGGTAAAAGAAGGAAAAAGCCAAGTTTTGACTTCAGTAATTCCTTCAGGTATCATGCAACATAGAGTACTAAGAAGAAGCGTATTGGGACTGGTTTAGTGATATATAAATCAGTTTGTCTCAGTTCTTTTTGTTGTGGCTTATAAACATGGTACCTCATGAGTATTTTCAGTCTCCTGTAGAGGAAAGCTGAATACTTACCCACTCTATTGGATAATTGAATTATCTAGGAATGTTAGGCCAGAATGCTAATTAAATTTGGTCCTCTAA